TCTTGTTACTACTAGTAAGGCACTTGTTACTAGTAGCGATGCTCTTTTTTCTAGTAGCTTCTTGTTACTACTAGTAAGGCACTTGTTACTAGTAGCGATGCACTTGTTTCTAGTAGCTTCTTGTTACTACTAGTAAGGCACTTGTTACTAGTAGCGATGCACTTGTTTCTAGTAGCTTCTTGTTACTACTAGTAAGGCACTTGTTACTAGTCGGGAATTCATCCAAAGGGGAAATAACAACATAACCCTAAGCAAAACCCAGGTAGCTCGCTTGAGCATATTGCGGTAGTTATTGTCCAGAAGCGTCTCCACGCTCGGCCACTCATCAGGTGGCTTCCGTACACAGTATACGCCTGCCAAGCGTTGGGGAATGGCAAATGATTGCTGGAACTAAGTCCGGATAAAGCCTACAGAGAAAGTCGGGTTGTGCCAAAAGGTCCCTTTACAACAACAGTGCACAACCTTGGACAGCACACCAAAAATTCAACTCACCCTCCAATCTGGCTCTGGCTCTAAGATTGATATTGAGACGCTTAGCCCACGAAGACTCAGAATTCAGCTCACTGGCAGGGAGCCCGCCTTGCCTTTCCCCCACCACGCATTGGCCTTTTCACCACTTGTGATGAGAGAGGCCTGTGAATGTCCAGAGTGCAAGTGGCTAGATGGAAGCCATCGAGTTCAAGGCATTGTCTCTTAACAATTCTAAGGGCAGCACGAACACTTCCACAGCAGCTTTGCTTGCATGCGTGATGTTGCGGAACCCGAGTTCTGTGGTATAGTGAAAGTAACATTCCACATCACCATCTCCTCCAGTTTGGGTCAGATCAAGAGCATCTCGCCATACCTGCGCGAAGGCTCTGGCAAGTGCAGCACGTGCTCCGCAAGCATCAGAAGGAGTGGAAACACGGTTCATAAAGCTCTCGACGGCAGCGCCTTGATCCCGAGCCATTCGTGAACCCAGCAATGGTCGTCCTCAAAGTAATACTCGTCATGATGAAAGACCCCACCATTCTTGTAGTCCTTCAGGAAGTAAGTTCGGAGATGGGCCTTGCACAACGTGTATGTTGTGCACAAAGACACCAAAAACAACCCGCTGGGACTCTGAATGTTCTTCATATCTTCTTGACGCTGGCATCCACTTGCTTGGCTGGCTGATTGGTTGCTTTGTTGTGGAAGTGAGGAACATGATATCATGTGTGTAAACAGGCCAGCTGGCATCAGCTAGGCACGAATTCACCCGAAGAGAAGTGGTTTTGCACAAGATGCTGGACGTTGGTCTAGGGGAGAATTAGGGAGCAGTGCAGCAGAGTGAATTCATGTTGACTCTGGTTGAAGACTCCCCATTCACCTCTGCGCTCAGCTTGTGAAAAAACCATCAGCTTGAGACAAACACATGTGGTTCACCAGCTCTCCTGCGCTCACCTACGCCCTTCCGACACCTCAGATGTTGAAGGCTTCTGCACATCGCTCCCTTCTGTCACACTGGTCTCGATTTTGTGTACCTTTCTGGGCATTCACCAAAGTTGAGAAAGGAATCAGGTGTCAAGAGCAAGCATCAAATGTTGAGAACGGCAATCTTTTCTAAATCAGTGCTTCATGCCGTCCAAAAACTTATCTCCACGCCTCCAATGCAGTGCTTGCCCCTGGTTGGTTCCGTTCTTGCATGCTTTCTTCAGCCTTTTGGACCTCTTGCTGCGCAAAGACGCTCGGTCGGCCCACTGAATGAGCAGTCCCATATGTGCGGCAGTGAACACATGCTAGTCATTCTACTGGCATCGCTCCTCAAGGTTCCCTATCGCTCCACACCATCCCAATCAAAGACCAGAAAACCTACAATCTCTCGCGTATCGCTCCAGGTATCGTTCGGTATCGGTTTTGGTATCGCTCTAGAAACCACGTTTTTCCAAATATCGGGAGATGATACATTCCTGGAAGAGGTATTGCTCTTCTTCAGGGTTCCCTATCGCTACACACAGTGATTGCAGAGGTTTACAAAGTGGCGTTCACCTCCACTCTTCGGATGTTTTGGATCTTGCTCATGTGGATCGTGGTGATTTGCTGGTCGCACTTAACACTAAACACGCAGGAACCAAATCATTCGTGCGAGCGCGAACTATCCTGCATCCTGTCAGTAGTAGCTACTTTTAGGTACTAGCTACGGCCTCCACTCCTTAGAAAAAGAGAAAACAAAACAACCTGAAGTCAGCACACGCCTGAGTTTCGGAGCGAACAGGGAATAAAGATGAATAGTTCATCAAGTGATTGGGATCTTAGTTCGGTTCCAGTCCTAGTCAGTCGAATAGCCTACCAAACGAAACGACACACGCACCCCGAACGGACTCCCAAACGGCACGGACTAGTTCTTCCGGGATAGACTCGCAAACAACAAGAAGGAACAAAAACAAGATGGAACCCACGAACCCGAATGCAAACACGTTCAAAAAGCTACATATGTCCAAATGACACTCTTGTAGGACACTCTTGTGGGACACTCTTGTGGGTCACTCTTGTAGGAAACTCTTGTGGGACACTCTTACGGGACACTCTTGTGGGACACTCTTAAGGGACACTCTTGTGGGACACTCTTGTGAGACACTCTTGCGGGACACTGTTGCGGGACACTCTTGTGGGACACTCCTGTGGGACACTCATTTGGGACACTCTTGCGGGACACTCTTGTGGGACACTCTTGTAGGACACTCTTGTGGGACACTCTTGTGGGACACTCTTATAGGACACTCTTGTGGGACACTCTTAACTCTTGTGAGACACTCTTGTGGGACATGGTTGCGGGACACTCTTGTGGGACACTCTTGTGAGACACTCTTACGGGACACTCTTGTAGGACACTCTTGTGGGACACTCTTGTAGGACACTCTTGTGGGACACTCTTACGGGACACTCTTGTTACACACTCTTGTAGGACACTCTTGTGGGTCACTCTTATGGGACACTCTTGTCGGACACTCTTGTGGGACACACGTGTGGGACACTCTTGTGGGACACTCTTGTGGGACACTCATACGGGACACTCTTGTGGGACACTCTTGTAGGACACTCTTGTGGGACACTCTTGTGGGACATGCGGGACACTCTTGTGGGACACTCTTGTGGGACACTCATATACGGGACACTCTTGTGGGACACTCTTGTGGGACACTCTTGTAGGAGACTCTTGTGGGACACTCTTGTGGGACACTCTTGTGGGACACTCTTGTAGGAGACCCTTGTGGGACACTCTTGT